TGGATTTTTACGTTATAAATGTACACAGACCACTGAAGTGGACACTAATGCATCATAAAATACACTATCAACTACTGGGCATCAGCTGCAAATGCAAGAAATTATTTTTCTTAATTCCAATATGGCCGACAGACAAAAGAGAACCAACCGACCCGGTCCCTCCTTCTGCTGTAGACGACTCTTGCAGGTAAAACAAATACTGTGACATCAGATAAAACCCCTGAAGAGCAATACAACTGATGTATTTTAAATAACTTTTGAATAAATAAAATTTAAAAAAAGTTTGTTTTACAAAAAAATTTTCCTACCTTTTTTTATGCCTTAAGAAAATAAAAAATGGGGGGAAAATCCTGATACAAAGGATCATAATTCATGCATGAAAGGGTTAAACCCCAAAAACCCTATCTGATGAGTAAATAAGACATTTAAAGCTGTATATGTATCATCTGAAACACTCCTTAGTGCTTCAGATTCTCAGGATGATTCATGTACAGCTTCTGCACGCCCGTTTATCCTGTTACTGATACCTTCTAGAAGCTTTTCAATATGCACATATTTCCATGCGAAATCCTCTTTACTGCGATTTGCTAAAGTCTCTTAAGCTGTTTCATATGTTACAATGTTCAGCTTCAGTGTGTTTTGTCATTTAAGTTTGTAGAGAAACATAAAGCAGCACAATTTTGTGAAGCGGAAGGAAAATCTGAAGCCTGTTTTCATGCATTTTTAATTTTACCCCCAAAAACGACTACAACCAGTTATGTCAACTCCCTCGTTACATAATATTATTTTGTCTCAAATATTCACGGAGAATTGATTTAGTTTAACATTATGCTCTCTAACTTTAAGCTCTTTATTTTGCAGTTGTGGAGTTGATTACATTTCTTTAATATATACTTAAATATGTTGCATTTTGTCACAGCAGAATGACAAACTTGAATGTATTTTATTGCATTTTATAGACTCATACAATATAATATGAACTTAAAGAAAATTAGAAATAGTTTATCAATTAAATATGCATAAGTAGTCAACCCCTTTTCCTTATGGCTTCAGTTAGGCTTTTCTTTGTGTTGATCCAATTAAATATATAGAAGTTTGTGACAAGATTTTAAAAAAAAACTTAAGATTTATTAACATCTAAAGTTTTTACATTACAAAGCTGAAACACCAGATGATGCTTCTCCTTTCTATCATCATTCATTCCTTTTTTAGCTGCTAGATTTTCTCCATGTGCAATATCAGAGATCAACAGGCCAGCTGTGATTGAAAGGTTGGAGGTCTAAATCAATCATGGGTGACATGTCGCTGCATAGTAACAGAAATTGCTTTCATTTCTAACTCTGTTTTTGCATTAAATCTGTGATGCATCAGAGAATGTATAAGAACAAGATTACAGCTAAAACAAAGAACTGAGGCTGAAGGAGGGATGTTTAACTTTATATATACACACACACACACACACACAACAGTTTCTATGTTTATTCTGTCTGTGTTGCAAAAAAACTTTTCTTTTCAGTTATCTTTCAAGTTAAATTAACTGGAAACATGACCACAAATGATAGTTTCTGTCTTTCTATTGTAACTTTGCAACCATGAACCTGTTTTTCTCATCTTTCAAGTATTACAACTTCAACATAGCGCGACTCCTGCATTCGTGCAATGCTGGGCAAACTACGCTTTTCTATAGGAAGCTCAATGCTTCATTTAACATTAATATGTGCTGCTGCCTTCAGCCTTTCTGTCTCTTCAAGTGTTTTTGAATAGCGGCATAAATATTCACCGTGAACAACAGCTTGGCCCTTACAAACAGGCACAGCTTTCACTCTGAAGGAACATGCAAGCTATTTTAGAAGTCTGAGTTTATACAGACATGTTGATGGGAGCAGATCGGTGACGGGGGTTTTCAGTCTGTCACTGACTGTATAGGTTACTGACCATATTGGTAAAGAGCATAACAGACATTTGACATTTGGAGAGATCTCTGTGTGTTCCTAAGATTATGCTGGTCTTGTGTCTCTGCTACACTTTGGCACATTAATTACGTTATATTTAACGATGGCAGTCCTACTGAGACTGACGGATTAAGCCGCTTCAGGATATCGATTATCCTTCAGTGCAACTTCAAATGGGATTGTCTCGAGAGACGTGTAGAGCGAATGCATGAAGATTAAGATGTAACTTTTTGTTTGGAAAAATGACATTATGTAAAGAAGCCTAAAGCTGATTTAGACTAGCCAAGTTTTGGGAAAAGATGCAGAGTTGAAGACAAATTTAATGAAAAAATAGAAATATTATGACTCCAATTACTTTAACTATAAGAGGACAATAGTGCAGTACTGCTGTTAAATGAAAAATCAATTATTTAATTCAATCTCAACATAGAATAAGTGTGCAGTGTGGCCAAGATGTGCTGCGTTCATTTCAGATTTTAATCTTAAATTTAAGATCATCACCAATGCAGTGATGTGAAAAATATATAAGTAGAATTACTTGAAGGTTGGGATAGACAAAGTCCTTTTCTTTCCCTGTTTGATATTCCTCACTCATGCCTGGTCATTAACTCCAAATGTACCCTTTAAACTTTAAAGCACTATTTCTAATCACCAGTACAAAAGAGAATGATCTGATCAAATTCTTATGAAACTTGAAGAAGGCTCTAATTGACTTACTGCAGAGGTTATGTGCAGGCTGAATATTATGTAGTTATACCAAAATTTATCTGCACAGTCAATGCATCATTGTCTTCAAACTTATTTTAAATACTTTGAGCTGTCAATGAAGGTTTTAACAGAGTTCATAGAACTATGGAAAGTTATCATGAACTTTTTTTAATTAGTCATTATCTCGCTCGTTCAAATTTCAACGTAATATGATTAAGAGGTATAATATTTGATGATAATTTGAAAGACATGCTTAGTATTTTTTACAGTTTCCCCTGGAACAATTAAAACAATATACTTTGTGAAGTGCCACCGTCACACATCAGATTGTTGTTCCAGATCTGTGGCAGGTAGAAGCTGAAAGCTGCTCCCCCACATCTGGTTCTGGGGATGCAAAGCAGAACCAGAACCAGTTCTAGTACCACTTGGCTGGACCTCTGCTAAATTAGGTCAGCCATTTTAAAGGGGTTGAACATTTATGCAATCACTTACTTCATGTTATTTAGTTGACTTAGTTTGAAAAACCGTGTCTTTCACTTTGACATTAAAATAATTTTTTGTAAAAAACAAAAACAAATAAAAACATTTGAGTGTGATTACATTTCAGAGGGACTGTATTTTCTCAATTTAATATTTGCAATGTAATTTATTTACTCTTCCTGTTGTCAGTTGTCCTTTAAAGCTTCAGTAAGGTGTCACTTTGAGAGTACGCCATGAAATCCTCAGCACTTTATTGAGCTGCGGTTGATTCCAATGTCAGTAAGCCTTTGAGTACCTATATATGCCTCATTAGCATAACAAGCTGGCCGGTAATCATTTTTGCCCCTACGACCAGTTGGGCGTAAAATCTGCAACAAGCCGGAGAATTCATTATACTTACAGTGACGAGATTAATACCTGCATGCAGTTCAGCTGCCCGGCTCTAATACCTGCATGTGAAGCTGCTCAGAAGAGGACTGGAGAGCTCTTGAATGTCATCAGTAGCATTTTTATTCTCCTCGTGATTTGTCTGAGTGTTATCCAGTATATGTCAATTAGAATTGTTTTTTTATATATATGTTCTGCTGATTTTGCATTCTGATAGTGCACAACAACTTTTTGTCATCTCCTGTAGAAGTAGAAGTTGTTTACAGTTATTATCTATGGGAAAAGAACACTGAGGCTCGCTGCCCTTGATCTTTACGCACCAGGGTTACATAAAGATTTTATTCCTCCTCGTCTTACAAAGTTTCTCTCTGCTGCTTATTTATTGCATCACAGACTGACTGGGCAGCTCTTTACCTGGCACATTTGACAAGAGATACGGCCCTCGTGGTGAACACTGCCATCATCTGCTGCACTGAGCGCTTTGGTTCCTTCAGCGCCTTGAAAATTACGATGCACAAGCCATGAACCGCTAAAACACCATCAGTCACTCCTTTCATGAGGCTGTCTCTATCTTTCCTGCACATATTGGTACATACAGCTTTACTGCTCTTGTTGAGTTTGCGGTGTACGTTCACCGGCAGGCTCTAAAGATTTCATTTCAGAGGGATCAAGGAGGAGAAAATGTCCGGATTACACCATGATCCTCTTGTAAAAATGGGATTTCTTCTTCACACTGGAGGAGCAACATCATTCATTTATGGTGTTTAAATTGTAGACTTAAATGAAAGAAAATGTGAGATGTTAAAACTAATAAATTGTATTCCTTTCTTTTCTTGTGAATGTCCTGATTCTGTATTGAATGTCAGATGCAAAACAATTCACCTCCCTTTATGTCTGTTCTCTCATGCAGCTCAGCATTGTAAGAGATTTATAAAAACTGAATTTTGGCATTTCATCATGCACCTTTCCATTTATACATTGTGATATTTCAGAAAACTATTTGTATCCAAGTCTAAATAAATGATAAAAACTGCCTTAATGCCCTGTAAGTCTACAGACATGACTTTTTCAGAAAACTGCCACAGAGAAATAATTTCTACGGTACCTTAAAGAAACAAAGAAAACAGCACACCACCTTCCGTAGCTTTGGTGAAAATGTTTTCAGATAAATTCATCTGACTCTGAAAAAAGTCGTTGAACAACAGATTATAATTTGAGCACATTTATTTATCATATATAAATAAATAAATGTTTCATTGAAATCACCAGTGCAGAAGCTGCTCAGACCTCGAATAATTCCAGTAAAATAAATACAATTTCAACTTGTTTTGCATTCTTATTTAGTATTAGAAACATTTAATTTAAAAATTTCCAAATAAAAAAAACATTTTGTTTAAAATATGACCGATGTCATTGAAGAAGGTTAATCTTGTGAAACGTTTTTGCGCTGATTTTGATTTTTGTTGACCTTTGTTCACACTTTTCCTGGGCAAATATTCTGGTTTTCAATGCTTTGCAACTGGAACGATTTTTGCTTTTACTTTTTAACTTTGGGATGGTTGTTATGATGTGTAACCACGGCAACAAGGTATTGTTTATACAGCTGGGAGGAGCTGATCAGTATATCAAAAAAAAAAAATATCTGAACTACAGCCCCAAATCCCAGAGCAGTTGAAAATTTAATTCCCCTTTTGCATAAATAAAGTTTTTTTGGATTTAAACTGAATAATTAAAGTTTTTTTTTTTTTTATCTTTACAAAAGGCCCAAATAATGACATGTTATTTGGAAAGAGTTCTGCAATTTTTCAATCAATACTATTATTAGAATGATTAAAAATTGTGACCCAATAATATGGAAGAGAAACTATTTTAGTTGTGAGATGTTTCTTACAGCAGCATTATACTGGTTTAAAGCAAACTAGTAGTTCTAGCTTTAGTTCTGAAAACACAAATGTGAAGTCACAAATTTACCAGTCTTTTTTTCCCGTTATCTAAGTGCTGGTATTTAATAATTTTTTTTGTTTGTTTTTTATAACTTGTAAAAAAATGAAATGGAAATTTATTGTGAAGAAATAGATCTGATTGAGCAAACATGAAACGTCAGTATAAATTCTGATGAAACCTAACGACAGCAGCAACCTAGATTAAAAGAAGGAAGCGCGTCAAGAGATGTGTTATCTGCTATTTAAAGATAATGGGAAACTGTGGTCTGAGCGGCGTGTCTCTCCATTAAGCCTTACGGAAACTATTTTTAAGTTTTATTAAAGGGTCAAAACATGTTGCTCGTTATTTGTTCTTATATTAAACAGTGAAATTTGCTGAACATAAAAGTATAGTTTTACAACATAGCCTTAATACTGGGCATTGCGGAATTAGAGCTCTGAAATGTTCAAATGCTTTCAAACCACATCGGAATTTGCGGCTCTTTTGCATCTGTCGCGTGTTGGAATAGCTATGTCAAGCATGTATTTATTCTTTTAGGACTTTATATGTTTAAAACGTGACCAAAATATGTTATTATCACAGCAAACGTCATTTAAGCAATGGGATTCGAGAAATTTGTGAGAAACTTGTGAAGCTTTCAATTTAACTTGCGCACCTGAAGGCCACTTCAGCCGTTACCTTCCGGGTAACGGTGTCGGAAACGTTTCTGGTATGCAGAAAGGCGGATCCCTCTTTGCCACTTTTGTCTTTCAGAACTTCTGTAGTTAGCATTTGCGTTAGCAAACGTAAATAAACGTTTCAACGCTGAGTATTTAAGCAATTCTGTTTTCAGAGCGTTTCCTTGGGGTTAATCATAGCGACGATCAAAAGAGTGTTAGTCCACCGCTAGCGAGCTAACTTTTTACTGCATAAAAAGGAAGGTGCTGTAGGCAAGAAGATGGACGAAAAGATGGACCCAGCTAAAGTGATATGGGCATTGAAAAACGGTGAAGTGAACGAGGTTAAAAACGCTTTGAAAACGGTAAGAAGGCTGTTAAGTCAGTGTAATTTTTGAGCTGAGCTTCAGCCGAAAAGTCAAAAAAGAGGCTCTGTAGTCTTGCTAGCCGACTAGCTAGCTAGCAAACAGCCTCTGTACTTTGACTTTTCTTTTCTTTTTTTCTTTTTTTAATAGCTGAATATTGTTCATACATGTTAAACGATACATAGAGACGAGGCTTCGGTGTGGTCCATGCTTAGTTTGGCCAGCATACACAATAATTACTTTGAAGCAACCTGTTGGTTTTGCTAGTCAACAATAGCACTGACTTATAGTGCTGGGCCAACAATGAGTTCGTTGTTTGCACTTAGCAGATCTGGTTTAGGAAGTATGTTACGTTTGTAGGAGATTGCTGAGCTGTTAAATGTGTAGCCAAAAGCTAACTGGCTAATCAGCCAAACGGGCCCAACACTAAACGGTGACTGTTGAAGTTTGTGGGCGGGGATCCCAGTTGTCGCCCTACATGGCGGTGGGCTTCTCCAGCTCAAATTTAGAGTCGCTGTCTGCTAAAAGTGGTGCTTTGAGGTGAAACACCACTTTTCTAATCGGGCTCTGGTTCTTGGAATTTTGTTCAGACCTCGTAGAACAGAACTGGTTTTTATGCAAAACATGCCCTAAGCGTTCCCACAAATTGTAGCCATTCCACCACTGTTGCACCTGCTGGAACGTCATCCGCTGCTGGAAGACTGGTTTTTAAAACCTGCCTGCATGTCCGCCCACACCAATGAAAACATCATGCCAAGAACAACTTCAGTGACTTTCTCCAGTAAAAACACTGTTTATAGAGATCACATTTATAGCACGAAAAAACTGATTAAGATCTAACTTGTATTAAGGCTTTGGAAAGCCAGGATTTACTACTTCATTAGAAAGCAGTGAATCATACATACTTAACATGATCTGATAAGTTTGGATGTCTTGACTTATTGTTTGACTGACTGTGACAAATGCTAATTCACACTAATGGGCATAAACCAAAGGTTTACAATAAACCTTGCATTGGGTTCTGAATAGATGCATTTTTAGTGTCTCAGTTGAATCAGATAGCTGAAATAACCCTGGCCTCTGTCATTCAGGCACTTTACTATGAACCTCTTATATTGACGGATATTAATCAACATTTCTCTGCCTGTCTGTGTTAATTATTTTACAGAGATTGCATTTCTGTTAAGTATAGCCCTATTTGCCTTTATTTTCAACAGAATAATCAAACAAAAGATGTCACACTTCAGTGGTTTTGTCGGGGAGGACCAAGTGATTCATGTCTGTGTGGTTAGTTGGGTAAGGGAAAGAGGAAGCTTCTCATGGTTGGGTTTGGTTTGTCTGTAGGAAGCAAAGTTAGGTTGAGTTACAGAAACAGCAAAGCAGGAACATGAAGGATGGAAATGCCTGTTTTTTATTTATATAAACCTTTAATATGGACCCTGTTGAATGTAAATAGTTTGCCTCTGTTTTACGATCTAAGCCAAATAACATCCGTTCCTCATTTTCAGAAGGAAGATGTAAATGAGCGCCTGGATGGGAGGTACCCTCTTCATTATGCTGCAGACTTTGGCCATCTAAAAGTGGTAGAGTACCTTCTTGAGAAAGGAGCAGATATCAACGTAAGTGATGCTATCACTGCATCTCATGCAGTTTTGGACGAATTTGCCTACTGTCTAACCACTGAAAAATTACTGCTCTCTTCTGCTTCCTTTTCCAAGCATTGTCACGGCACTTTAGTGCAGCTTTAACCTGTTTTAAAAGTGCTATATAAATAACTTTGATGTCGACTATCTGACTTTGACCTGTAGGTTCTTTTATATCCAGAAGTTGCATTTGTAGCTTGATCCCTTTTTTTCTAAATCAATACTTGTTGCAAAAGAAGATTTAAACTTCCATAAATTCAAGAGTGTGTGTCAGCAGTGTTTTATTGACACAAATTCTTATATATTTACCTGTCAAGAATGACTGGGCTATTATTAAATAAAAATTACCATTCCGTTGAAGCTCTGGCTTCCTGTCTAGAGTTGCTTTGCTGTCCTAAATGTATCCTTTCTGCAACCTCTAATACACAGATGGGAGTTTTAATAACTCTGACATGTGTTAACACAATTTATAACCACCTATGTGTATTATGGTGGTGGCTTCAAGAAAAACAACAGATTTTTGCCTTGTTTTGTCTCCACAGGCCAAAGACAAGCACGAGTTGACTTCACTGATGTGTGCCTCTTTAGAGGGTCACTGTGACTGTGTCAAGATCCTTTTGGAAAAGGTTGGTGCCACAATTTCTGTATTCATGAATGAATTTACAAACAGAAATTCCCCAGTGTCTTTCACTATTCTTGTTGACGTGTCAGACGGTCCACAGTGAGTGCTGATGAGGTAACTTGTAAGACAAAAGGCCCTTTAACACAGTTCTGTGGAGGCTGTGCTAGAATGGTCAAAGAGGGCTACATAAGGCGTTTTCCACTAGACCGGTTCGGTCCTGGTCCGCACCGGACAGATTCATTTTCCATTAGCACATCCAGCGCGCCTCTGACTGGCTGCTCTCAGATTTTCATTACCCTCTTCAGGGGTAGCACTAGCAGGACCGAGCCGGGTTCAGCAACGAAACAGTTTGACAGCTGATCACTTTCGTTCGTTTAAGTCACTGAAAACTCAGAGCCTCTGTGGTCAGCTTTCTGCACGCTCACGTACCGCCCACAATAGCAAGGAAGAGACCGTATAATGGAAAAGCTCCCTACCTGGGCTAAAGACGAACCACCCATTAACCGGTTTTCCTGTGGAAAAGTCCCTTTAATATACTGCTGTTATTGTCTAGTAGCACTATTAATGTAATATAGCTACACATCTCTTCATCAAAACTTCTTTCATCTGCCTTTCTCCGATCTTTGCTGTAAATCTTAGAACCTTCAGTACGCCGTCATGTTCATACTGGAGTTGTAGATTTAACAGACTGCAGCTGTGATTGGCGCCGGTTGCAGCTGGCATCGACTGCAACACTTCCACCGAATGCCAGGCGCCTCATAATAAACGCCCAACATAACGCTATCATCCAGTGATGGGATATAAATTCATACGATCAAATACGAAGCTGCCGTTTCTCCGTGAATGGTTTTAAAGTACGTCTTTGTTTTTGTCTTACCTGAATGTTTGACTGAATGATGTGTAAGAGTCAAGAAATGACACATTTCCTGTTTATTTTGGTTGTATCAGAGTGAAAGAAGACGCCCTTTGCAATCATTCCCCTTCTTAAAAAGAAGGCAGCTTAGGAAACTAAACAGTCACCTGTTACATAAAGGTAGATGATTATTGATGTTCTGATTATGGACACTCAAAACTTGGTAATATATAAATTTGGCAACCTTTTATTTTGAAGGGGTGTGCATAAGACTGATATAACATCTGTCATGAACATGAAGGAGTCTTTATGAATGTTTACAACTATTGTCATGAAGTGTCATTTGGTAAATTACACTTTTAATGTAAAGCTGACACTTTTAATGCAACTTTGAGTGAAACTTTGCATTAAAAGTGTCATTACTTATGGATTTAAACTTATTAAATGTTAGATAATAAAGGGAAGCATTTTCTCTAAGTCTTTCTAAGCAGTGTTGGTGAAACTTTAAGCACCTTCGGTCAAAACAACAATGCTGAAAGTACTTAGGGTGGCATTAAAAAGAAGAAAAGAACAAATAACTGTTGGTCTGAAAAATAGTTTTCTTAATCAGAAGGAGCAGAGTTTTCTAGTGTTCTGGCTTATTTTTTCTTTTTTTTGGTTTAAAAAATGTTGAAGTGTCTTTGCTGTATTTGGCTAAGTTTAATTAATGGGTGTGGGCATGGCTGTTTTTTCAGTAAAAAGTTGCCCATGCTCAATATATTAAAATGAAAGAATGAAACAAAACATGACTAATTACTTTTTTTTATCCAGCGTTTTCTCTTTTAAAAGATATCAGCAAATAAATTCTCAGTTATTGCGATAATCAATTTTGCATCATTTTGGTGGCCAGTATTTGAACTTTCTTCCAGCCACAGAAAAATTACCTTTAACTTGCTTTAAAGATGGCTGATTTGTACCTCCTATACATCTGCTTCAAAGGGCAGATTGACTGTTGGCATCAAGAGTTAGTGGTTACTCCACCAATCACTCACTGACCTTTAAGGATTCTACAGAAAGACGATTGTGACCAGTTAGCACTTAGGATCACCATCATGTCTTTCAGCAAAACATTTTCCATCATCGTGGCACAATTCAAGTCAGGACATTCTTTGAGCATTCCAAATTTAACTACACACCTGTACATAATCAAAGTGCATGCACTATATGTTCTGTTCATTGCGCTTAATGCTTCAGATGCTGGTCATTTGCTGTCCTCCAAGTCAAAGCAGTTGGTAGCACAAGAGGTGGGCACTGCTCATCTGAACTGGGATGATCAAGGTTTAAGTGATCCCAACAGGTTTTCCTCCTGTGACCATCTTTGTTCCCAACAACAAGGATTATAATCCAGGCAGCTCAAAGGTAAACGGTAACTACAGGGACCAGATCTTAAGACATTCACGCCTATCCACTGTGAAAACCTCGCTGCTGTCTCAACATGGGAATAATAGATCGAATACACAGCAGCACAGTCGATGATGTAGCTCTGAGGCTCTGTCTGGTTGCACCTGTGGTTGCCACAGCACTGCAGTGACCAAAACTGAGCCCATTGAGAATACTGGATTATAAGTGTGGGGTAGGTAGACAGAAATTGCTTGGTTTCCCAGTGCATGATGGGAGTTGACACCTGCCCCCTAACTGTATGGTGCACTGCTGTTGGTAATAAATTATGAAATGTGGTTTTTATTCAAAAGGTGGTCCGGCTATAAGATGTCAGCCATAAATATGGAATACAGTTTCTAGAAACCAGCCAGCCAAATACAAGTCTGCAAAGAAAGGGCAAACAGAGATTCTATGAGGAACTGTGCATGACGGGGAAGAAATTGTTTTAGTATATAAAGTTACATCCCTCGTCATCGTTCCTTTTTAAGGACTTTTCCATTTGCCCATGTCTTGTTTTTTTTATTCTCGTCTGAACCAGTGTTGGGGACAAAAATGACTTTACAAATATCGGCCAGATATGAGCCTGTTGGATACTTTTTCACTTATTCAACATGTTGCAATATGGATCTCTGTTTATTTTTTGTTTTGTTTTTTCAATTATTGAATGTTTGGTACATCTTGAAATTTCACACACATTGTCTGTGGGCAATGTGGGACTCCACTTCCAAAAAGAACAGATATTGATCGTTGACTTTTTCCTAGATGTTATGGAAGGTCAATACTCTGAAGCACATATTGCATTTCAAGTAGCTTGACTGAAGCTCTTGACCAATAATTAAAGACATACACGGGAGACCATTCAGTTCTAGTCAATAGGGGCTTAATGAAAACTTAATAGACTCTTTGGCGGGTGAGGAGTGTTGGGTTACTGACCCAGTGAGTCTCTGTGTGGCTGCATGATTCAGGCTGATGATGCTCTTCAGTTTGGCTGCAGTCGCCCCGGGAGTCTATTCTTATTCGTTGGACTTGGTCTCATTTAGCCACCGGCTTCTTGATGACCGGATAGTGTTTGGGCAGTGAAGTGTTTGAGGGATCGTTATTCAACTTGAGAAAAGCTCATTACCATGAGTGGTGGTAGTATGGAGAGGGTGTGCTAGTCCTTGAGAAGCTGTAATAGGAGGATGAGCTACAGTTTTTATATCAACTGTAAAAATTGTAGCCTTGCAAGCATGCTCACTTGTGGAACCAACACATTTTAGTACATTGCATTGGGGGTTTTATTTGATAAACCAGCACAAAGTAGCTTTGTGTCTAGTAGAGGTGTGCCGATCGATCGACCACCGATCATAATCGGCCAATTTCCGTGAAAAAGTGTATGATCGGTGATCACCGATCACGGTCTGTTGTTGCCGATCACACAAACCGATCATCTGCATCTCATTTCCACCTGCCTGTGCAGCTGGTCTCCTCTTTCCTTCACTCTGCGCAAACGCGCAGCAACAAATCCTAAGCGATGTGGAACCATAACGCACTGAGTGAATGGGGAAGTTTACGTGTTGCAGCGGAAAATTACCTCAGGGATGAAGCAGGTCAAAATGCATCAACACGACAAATCTAATATGGCATAAAAAAAATGATATACTTGACGGATAGTATTATCAATAGCAGTACAATTTGCACAATGCCTGTTTAGTTTAGTTTTCTTCTTGAAAAAAGTTATTAAAAACAAGTTTTTGTCTAAATTAAAGTGAATTCATGGTTCCTTTTTCCACATAATGGTAGTGATTATGGTTAAAAACATAATTATGTGATTGGTATCGGTGATCGACCCTCATGGGTGATCGGAATCGGCAGGAAAAAACCTGATCGGCAGATCTCTAGTGTCTAGGTATTTCAGCTCCCCAAGATGAATTTTCTTTTTTATATTGTAGATTTTGTGGAAATAAATCTGAAGGTTTCCTCTAGAAAAGCTGCTAAGCCCGGTGGTACACTCTACTGCTGTAACAATTCCTCGAGGGATTCGAGTACCTCCATTATTAAAATTCCTCAAAGCTTCTTAAATTGTTTTATTATTTAGCGCACCGTGTTCCGGCCGGATGATTGATGATGTTGCGCAGCACTCTCACTTCCATATCTGAGTTATTGCAAAGTGCTAAATGCTAGCCGCATAACATCTAATTCTTGATTTTGTTCCAGTGGGATTTTATTGTTTGCTGATGACGATCGGGTTTTTTGTTTGTTTTTTCCTTCATTTTTCGGGGGGACCAATAAGCATCCTTAAAATGACCAGTGCGATTCCTGAAGTATGGCAGCCTTTCTCTTCCTCTGATGTGCAAATATGATAAATTGGGCAGATGTTACTGGTGTATAAAAAATATCCGATTTCAGATGAATGACACTGGGGGTAGGTAAAGCCTGGTGGCTTCCAGGCTTACAATACAGGCTGCTGAATTTTCTGCAAAATTCACCAGAAAATTTTGCAGAAATTTTTTTGCAGAAAATGTTCTGGATTGGTGTCAACTCACCAATCCAAATTGGTGATCTGACAAATACTGAGCCTCAAAGAGGTGGAGATCTACTGTGTTTTCATAAAAGGCCAGATGAGTGGAGTGCATTACAAGAAGTTGTGTTATTGATATTTTCAGATGGTGGATTGAACTGCGTTAAGTCAGATTTTCCAAGTTAAATGGTAACACAACTTTACCTCTGGCACTAATCTAAAAAAAAAAAAATCTAAGGCCTTCACACATCAGATAAATGTACTGAACCTCATTAGAAACAAAATGGCAATGGGAATTTCTTTCAGTTGGGTGGCTTCTGAAAAACTAAAGTTTTTAGCTGATAGTGTCAGAACATGTTGGTAGGTCTGTAAATCCTCACATGTAGCACATACGTTTTTAGTTGCTCAGATATTTAGAGATATGTGTAGTAGTTGGGTGTAAAAAAATGCTTATTATAACGATGTTGGGGGGCTTCTCTCAGCTTCATCGTTCCCCAGCAGGAAGAGTATTGGTAATTGATCTATAGTGCTAAATGAGGTCCAAGTCTGTTACTAGGTTTCATTTTGAACCAGCTACTAATGACTTCCCCGGAGCTGGAGAGAAAAAACAATGGGGAAATGAAGCTGCTTCCTTTTTTGTCCTGCCTTTCAGACACTAAGCTCAGCAGAGCAAACCAAGCTGGGTTACTGTGTACATGATATGAAACGGCAATTGGATGTATTTACTGACACAACGACCACCTTATCACTGTGTTTACACTGGCTAACGAGTGTTTGCTAGGTGGATAAAGCTTATATCAGGAGAACAGACAGACATTATCAGAGGAAATGTATTTTGGTTTCTGTCTCAGGTAAGATGAATCGCACAAAGGCAACCTTCTGAGTATTTTTAAAGTACAGGAAAGATAACGCTGCTGCTCTTGAAATTTAAAGAGCTTCACTCCTAACAATCTGTAGTGGAAGCTTCCATTTCCCCCTCTGTTTATGTTTTTTTTTTTCTCAATGTTTCATGGAATCTTTTACAGTTTTAAGAAAACTTATTTGAAACCTCACTCTCTGTACTTGCTTTTCTTTCTTTGAAAAGTTACTTTAAAAATAGTTTGTAGACCTTTGCTCATGAAGGATCTGATGTGAAACATCAGCTATATCGTCCTGCCCCAGTGTCATCCCCACTCAGTTTGTATCACCGTATGATTAGTTAAAAAAGCATTTCTATAAACTGAATCCAGTACATCTTTCACTTAGAGCCTAGCTCAATTAGTTTAGAGCTCCTATTGATGTAGAGACAACCTTTGTAAATGTTTGCAAGGTTGACAAAATGCAGTTAGGAATTTTTTCTCCAATGTTCTTTAATTGGAATGAAAATACGAGGAGTTGTCATGCTTCATGTGTTATAAGGCCGTACCTTAACCTAACCAGCGCGCTCACAGGTACGTGGTTCTAGGAAGTGTGAATGAATTGACAAAAGTGCCTTTTCCTCCGTCTTTCATCTCCTCGCCAATTAGAGATGTAGATCTGACAGGACATCTAGCCCTGCTAAATCTCTCCCAACTCTGGACGCGCTCTGTTGCTCCCGGAACGGGGAATTTGCACTCCGGCGACAACACGGCACCACGCCGTCCCATTGTTGTTGATGCCCTGCTCCGCCACGCAACGGTAAACTCTGTCTGCCTGGGATCTGGAAGCCCCGGTGTTAACAGGCGTCATGCTCCTCCCCACGTCACCCATTACATCTGTTGTCACTGCAGCTGAATTCAGCTGTGTGAGGGTCTCTGGTTCTCCAAACGATCGCGTCCCCACTCTGCTCTTTCACATTGATTCCGTTATCGTTCTGGGCTTAAATGGATTTGGACCCTTGCATCTCTCGCAGTTCCGCATGTCTTGTTTGGATTAAGACAGACCGACAAGCAAGTCCTTAGTGATTGAGTCGGAGAAGAATAAAAGTGAAGGCTTGTTTGTGTTGCCTTTGTTAAATAGCCAGGGACCTCTTCTATAAATGCCGGGGGCCATTTGCCACTGAATTGAAGAAAGCAGGAGGAACCCTCTTCTGTGTGCCTATATCTAATATTCCTGTCCCTTTACCTCTGCAGGGAGCTGACAAAAACATAAAAACAGAAAGTGGCACATCTGCCTTCGACTCCGAGTATCCCGCCGTTCTGGAGCTCCTCACATCTCCTAAACCCAAGTAAGGGAGGCAGCTGGACAGGTGGATGAACGGGCCTGCAGATGGATGCAGTGGTCCCCTGACAGAAGACGGCCTCACCCCATTTACTCCAATCAACCTCTGTCTTACCACTGCTTTGGTCTGTTTGTTGGAGGTTCATTTTGCCTGTCTGGTGACTTTCATTAACCTTTTTCTTCCCATGATTTTGGGAATGTACTTTCTCTTCTTTGGGCCTCTGTCTGTCAGCAAAGTGACACATAATAGCCTCCCTTAGGGACCAAACACTGGGGGAGTTGTTAAGCTTGGATCATGTAACACTGTTCAGACCAGAAGTTAAGTTCTGTCAGTTTAGCACTAAAATATGCATCTGAAATTCTGCTGTCTCTTAAACGAAAACAAAACAAACCGTAACAGATCAATAATGCTCATTTTTCCACAGTTTTCCTACATGTGACCAGTGTTTTGAACAGTAACTGCACTGTGATAAATTAGACGGATTAAAATGCCAGATAAATAAATAGAATATGTAGCCTGTTCATTGATTGACCAAACTATTTCTTCTTAAACATGTTTAGGCCTATTACTCGCATATCAAATGACATTTAATGAGTTTGAAATCTGTATGATTTTCTCTTCTTTTTTTGACCAATCACCATGCTGGTTTACTAGAAAGACTTGAATGTTGCAGTTTTGAAATGATAACCTGTTGAAAAATAGCTAACAGAACATGAAAATGAAATTTCTCCCCTTGAGTGAGTGTTTTTCTTCTTTTTTTCTCAGAGCATAACCCCTTTTGTCACTGCATTAGCTTTCTTGGATCTGGGTGCTGAGAATGATGGGTAAACAGGGATTAGGGCTGAAACCTGATCATGGGGCTGCTTATATATCTCCTTGCCGTGGATTTGCTTCGAGACCCCGCCTGTTTTGCTGCATGTCGAATCTGCTTCTGCTTTTCTGCTACGAAACGGTTGCTGTCCTCTTGGTTGCTTTTAAATGAATTGCTAAGTATGTACTGAACTAAAACATGGTTAAACTGACTTTGTTGTGACAAAAGTCTGTACAAACCAATAAAAAAAAAAATCACAGGAACGGTTTTGTCTCTGTTTCCTTAAATATAAGAGTGCCTCGATGAGTCTCGTTACCTCCCACAAAGGAGTGTGAGCAACTTGGTGAAGAACCAAAGCATTAGAAAGTTTACTGGAAGGAAAAATGTTAATTAGAAAAAGTCAATATCAAGAAGTTTTTGAAGCAAAACCCATTTAACAGTTTGGAGAAATTCACAAGCCAGGAGCTGATTCTACAGCCGATCGAACTAATAAAATACAGATTCATACAAAACAAGGACAGAGTCCTAAAAAAAGTAGTAGTGTAACGATAGAGCCTTGATTAATACGGCTATTGCAGAAGGGACAAATCATTTTTGTTCTAAAATTATTTTATCCTAATTGGGGGAAACTAATTTGCAAGTAACTTTTCAGCAAGATATTGGAGTTTGTTTTAAGTGAAAAACTTTATTAATATTATTTTTGATTATGTGTTTTCGTGGTTTGACTGTCATAAAATGCCAAAAGCTCAATTTCCAGGCAGCAGAGTTAAAACTTCACTGTAAAATGTTCTGAATGACACTATATGTTGGCAAGAACTGCTAGTCCAGTTCGTTTGCTTTTGCCACTCCTCTTTAAGTTTCTGTCCGACCTCCTGGTTTGAAAGCCGGGCAGAGAGACGGCCTTTAGATAGAGTTGGTTTCAACTTCCTCTCTCTGCATCCAGGAAGCGTCCTTTTCAAGCCCTCTGCAGGTCAAAGTTCAGGCATAGTTTGAGCTTTACATATGCTAATCTGCTGCTCCAGTGTCTCAGTGTAAAATAGTAAAAGCAAAAATCCTTCAGCATCTAAAACCAGAGGGAAAAACTGTCCAAACATGAAATGCCTCAACCAAAAACAAAAATCTGAACGGACAGTTCTAGAATTGCTCTGACTGTCTGTTGTGTTTTATCAAGTCAAAGTCAGTGCAGCCGTTTGGACATTTTATGCCAGTTTGATCATTTTTTAACAAAACTTAACTCCTAGCATTGTCTAAAGTACCAAAGTGTGACTTTAATGGCCATACTTCACTGAGCCACCAGTCCTAACCACCAGATGAGGTGAAGGCTGCTATTAAAGGAGCCCTGGCTTCCTGAACAACTCAGCAGAGCTTTGCTGTTATTTCCTTTATTTTTCATGCCATGTTTATTTACGATCAATTTGTTCTTTTTACGGTTTTAATTTAGCTGAATGTTCCTGCCAGGACATGTTCTCTAACACTTGATTATGTTCTTATGACAGTTTTACCTTAACATGACCCATCTTCACCTTAACTAAAGTCATCAGAGCACATCAAAGGAGACGGATGGATTAGATTTGGGATATAATTGCCTAAATTAACCTAATCTTTCTCTCCTGTTTTGTCTGACAAGATGAAGTGTGTGAATTCAGATGACTGCTGTAACGTTGATGCTTTTAGCCTACTGCTGCAGGCCTCTTTCCCAGAAGCTAAAATCGGCTTTGAGGAAAAGGCCAAAGTTGATCCTAGCACCTCAGTAAGTACCGTAGGTAAGCTAACGGGTAAGTAAGGTGTTTTACACAGAAATGATCCTGTTACAAAGTATAATCCTAAAGCTTTTTTCTTTAAGTTAATTTAGTGTTTATATAATTCTGTATTGTACTATTTTAAGATTTTAACATGAGCTCAAAGTCTATTTTAGATTGTGCCTTCCTTTAGCATCTCTGGATAAAAGATGTTTTTCTGGTTAGTGGTGGTTTATGTTTGAATAAAACAGAATTGGTTGAAAAAAAGGACTTTGAAGCATTTACTTCCTGGTCCAAGTGTCACGCTCTTAAGCAACATAGGCAAAAAAAAAAAAAAAAAAAAGAACCGTTGCCTATGTGTCGTCAGAAACTTTGAGCAGAATTTCAAACTCCCTCACGCAAGAATGCTGCCTGTCCACACGACGCGAGATGGTAATGAATTATCTGCTCAGGGTGTCTGTGGGGTGGAGGCAAATCAATAGCAGCGTGTAGCGGAGCTGTGGAGAGTGAAGAGTTGCATCAGGTCGAGTCAGACGAAGGCGTTCAAGGGGAAGGCGGCAGGCGGAGAGACGGAGCTGCAGCGTTGATCAGACCGAGAACAAATACTAATCAATTAAAGCCTTGTGGGGAGACGTCAATGTAAAATGGCTCGGCTACTCTGACAGCCTCACGCCCCCGCATCTATATCCTCACCAACTTATTTCTGCTCATTTAGATTACATTCAACAAGAACAACCGGGGAATACCGAGCTCCGTCTTTGGTTGACAGTTACATTCTTGCTTAATAAAAATGAGCCAGTTTTACTGTCTTTGAGCCTTGAGAGCTGAAGACTAAAGTGAAACTTTTCTGTAGCGGGAGTGTAAGCACGCATGCGCAGAACACAAGGCTGTGCGGTTTATCGTTAATAACAAAAACAATGACGGATACCGTTGTGCTATTTACGACGGCATATAAGGGTCATTGTAGGTAAATTTAAGCCAAAAATATCGAGATTTTCCAGAAAAAAAAAACAAGGAGCTCCAAAAGTTGAAAAATTACAAGAAAAAAATAAGAAAATTTGAAATTAAGCACATAGTTTCCAAAAATAAAAAGGAAATTTCTGAGTTTCAAAAGTTGAAAATCTGCAAGAAAAAAGGAGAAGAAAATTTGAGATTAATCGCAAAAAGTTTCTAAACATAAGAACATTTTTGAGTTTCAAAAGTCAAAAATGTCTAACTTTTGAAACTTCTAGAAAATTTCTGAGCTTAATCTCTAAATTTCTGTTTTTTTTTTGTTTTTTTTTGTTTTTTTTTTTGCTATAAATGTACTCTTACTGTTTTTTGTATCAACAATGACCCTAAAACGCCGCCGTAATTTCTTAACCTGTTCAGTTTAGCACAATTTTTGACGAGGCAGAGATGGGTTGCTGTTTACAGTATGAGGTGGAAGCTAAGGATCAAAAGTGCATGCTTGTTTGATGACATCCTGAAATCGCAGCGCCCTCCAGTGGCCTGGCATGACAACTACAGCTGACTCAATCTGTCTGTCCCAATTAATATCCAAAAATACCAACACTTTCCAGGCAAGGGTCTCATGTAAAAGTAGTAATGTGTGGGATGGAAGCTGATAGTAAATAATAAATGAATAAATAAATCTCCACACCGTTTCATTTCCTCCCTTAAAGTGCTTTGGAGAATCCACAGGCCATCTTTGCTCTAATCCTGCACAGGATCATTAGTTTGGCATCATTCCATGTTAGGGAAAGTGGTCACACACTGTTTTGATCGGGGGCTTCCTTCTCTGATGGGCCGTACAGAAACAGCCTCACAGCTTGACAGAAGATTCATCAAGATTTGTGAAAGTTCTGCTGAGCTCTGCCCCCACCTACTGTTTTTAATCAAACCTGCAACAAATTACCTTCTGAAGGTGTTTCCTCCTGAAAATTACTGTTGAGCTGTTGCTTTCATTCAAGAACAATAAATAATAAACGTCAGTCAGCTCAAATACCTCAACATACACTCACGTCCTTCTAGGTAACACCCAAACGTCTTTACAGTAATTACCATATGCGATAATTAGCACGCGTGTGCCCTCATACACTCATACACACACACAAACACACAGAGTTTACTACCGTTGTGATCAACCCGTTCAAAATGCTGCTTAATGAAGTAGCAAATCCAAATCATTTACATAATTAATACAGACTCCAGATTGCCTTCCGGGCATCTCTGGCTGTCTCTCTGTACAACCAATTGTTTTCTCCGCAGCTCACGCATTGGTTTACTTTCCAACTGATTTGAACACAATCTTTCATCTATTCCCCCCGTTGTAGTTTGATGAAGACATGAGAAGGAAGGCAAAAGCGTAAAAGTAGATCCATCTGAAGTGAAAACCTCTTAGCGACTTTAGATTCTGTCATGAACTTGCCTAAGGCAAGTGACAAAACATGACAACCTCAAAGGAAAAAAAACATAGAAAATTTGTGACATTGAGCGAAATTATTAAAATGCAACACATTTTTCTCCATGGAGGCTGCAGGAGGTTAAAGGAGAGGTAAAGGAAAAGTTTTTGTAGCGCTAAAAAAGGGAGACGTTTCAGGCCCACACATCGACTGAATCCCAATTCCTACCTCTACGTCTCTCTGGGCTGAGGGTGCAAATCCAGGAAGTAGTCCCTGCCCTAACACAGACACCTCCAAGCTGGAGTAAACCACATGCCTGGACACGCCGGATGCCTTCTGTGGAAATGTTTTTAGTTGCGAGACACAAACCTTATGCTCTCTACCCATATTTATTACATTAGGTGATGCTTTCAAATACATTGTTCTTCCTCAAGGTATCATTCTCTGGGGCTGTTATGCTGGCAGTGGCACTGATGCATTAAACAAAATGGATGAAACACTAAAATAGAACGACCATCAAAGTCTTCAACTTCACCTCCACTCAGTCGCTAGACGGCTGAAACTTCCACCCAGCTGTCACACAAAATTGTGAAATTGAGTTTTTCAACATTGGTGGAATTTCAACAAAGTTTTGCAGACATTTGTAATGGAAACGTCGCTTCTGCCAACATCTGTTTTCAAGTTACGATTGAATGTGTAGAATTCTTAGAAGTTTTTAATTAAATAAAAGGTAGGAGAGGAGGACGCCTTCAACTTAAAAATAATCTTTCATCTCGTGTTTCCTTTGGCAGTCAGCTGTCAAACGAACAAAGTGATGCCCAAACCTTCTCTGCATCTCTGTGTCTCAGGAAAGAGACAGAAAAAGACAGGGAGCACAGTGAGCTGGAGATTTACATAATTAGTGTCTTGAGAGTCCACAGAGTAGATATAGAGGACAGCTGCAGACGTTTAAAAGCAGACGTTTGTGCTCTGACATGCTTGCACATGCATAAATCTTTCTCAGGCTACTTACTTATCAGTCCTTCTTTGTTTGCACTCGGAGCCAATGTGCAATGAGCCCGATCGTAATCCCTCTAAACGCCTCAGTGCAAAGCACTAAAAAGCATTTTGTCGCTAAATTGATGTAGCCACAATGCTATTAGGAAGAATTTAATTGGAAATGAAAGTGGATTCATTATTACTGTCATGATGGCTGAGCGCGTCAAAGGCAGAGTCTCTGGCAGCCATGGCTGTGCTTTCTGCTGATTATGAGAACGGCCTGGAGAGAACGACACACAACTGCATTCTTGATTTGCACTTTGACTTTGCTTTACTGACTCTGACAAACTTCTCGTTGTCCAATAAAAAGCTTTTCTAAGTGACAATACATTAAAAATCTTGTGGGCAGTGGAGTTTTCTGCAGCAACATATTGGGAAATTCACAAGGCAGAGCAATTTCCTTCACTTCTTGCAACAATAGGTTCATCAAACAGATTACATTAAACACAAGGAGAAGCAAAGAATCTCATCAAGCCCATTAGATGGAAGCAGTTTGCACCAGTTTCCGCATCAGGTCAAACACAGCAGGTGAGGTGATCAAAGAGAAAGAGATAAGTTATATCTATTCTACTCTAAAAGGTTTTTCTAACTTGAGTGTGTCTATAGGTACACTTAATAGCAAAGTTTCAATTTTGCAAATAAAAGGAACATGATTTTACACCATTTATTTTTAATATTTTGATTTGTGTTCCAGTTCAAATCTTTCTGTTTCAGTTCCCCTGCCTTTCTTAATCCAGCTCCCCTACATCTGACGTTCATCTCCTTAATTAACTCACCTGTTTCTCATTCCAGTAATTACTCCACTCCAGTATTTAAGCACCTGTTTTTCTCTCAGTTCTTGTTTAATCATCTGCTGCTTGTCTGTGTATTTCAGTATGTCTGGTACATATGGGATGTTTGTGTGACTTTAAATTCTAATTTAAATTCATCTTATTTGCATTAACTTGTGATGAGACTCCATCAACCTTTCTACATTTGAAACTTCAACAACAATGATTTATAACACCAATGCCTTGTTTCACCTGTTGCTTGTAATCCCAGCAGGGTGTTCCTTTTATTCCTCTGTGCCAAAATCACCACCAGTTTTCAGCAGATGGTATTTTTTTTCTTCAGAAAGTTGCATGAAGCAAACAACTCTGCTCTTCAGTATGAAGTTTTAGCAGGCTTTTCCCAAAATGTCTTATTTAAACTCCAACACAGAGGCGATGTCTTCACAGTAGGAGGCTCTGGTTCTCCCACATTAACCTGTCCACAAATACCATTATGATTATGTCCCTTAATGGTATTTGAGACTGACAATATAAATAATTCTGCATGTTGCTCACAAGAGCAATAAGTACATAAAAAATTTGTAACTTAACTTTGTGGCTGTTCAATTAAAGAAAAACAAATTTTTGCTTATTGTATTATGTACTACTTTAAAATTAACATTGTACTTAATTTGGTATCTGCTTGACAGAAAAACATGTTTCTTTTCTATAATTGGACCTAAAATAAGTTTAAAAAGTATTAGTTAACTACTTGGTTTTTCAACAAGGTGTGCTGTTTGTAGAAAAAATTATGTTGAAATGGAGATGGAAAAACTTAATTGTAAAAACTATAAACAGAAGATGAATCTTTTATAAAAGCCTATAGGGGGGAAAAAACATGAAAGATGCAACATAAAACTGGAAAGTCAATCAGCAAGCCTTGAAAATGAAAGCTGATACCAATAAATTTGAATGCTTTTGGGTTGTAATCTGCTGAAATCAGTGCAGAAGCAAGACTTTTTGCACCTCACTTTGTGTTGCCTCTTTACTCAGCTCATTAGCTGTGTTTGTGAATTCAGCTCACACTTCTCAGTTTGCAGGTAATCATGATTCCAGTGAACCTCTTTAACCTTTGCTCTAGACGCTTGGACTGCATGAGTAAAGTAATTAGAACAAGGCAGTCTCTTCCAGATGGATATATTTGTCAATATGTTGCTGCATTGTCGCATTTAGACAGGTTTTGTCATCAGATCATTCAGAGGCCAAAGTTGTGGTTAGTTTAATTTTATTCCCACAAGCTTCAACAAATTGGTAGGGAAACTGTATACATGCAGATGGAAAGTGTAAATCTGGTTCTCTTTAATAAGTTATAATCAAAAACATGTCATCTTTGACATACTGAACAATTATGTGCAGATGTGCAGTTGTAGAGTTGTGAAAAACAATTTATAAGTAAATGAAAACACTTAGTATGAATATAGGAACTCCAACATTTTTCTATTTTTTATTTCTCGTTGTAATAAGTTCTTTATTTCAGTTGTTCAGTGCTATCCCACACACAACCGCGAGGGGGCGTCTGTCACGTTGGTGGCATGGAGAAGGTTGACCACACAGAAGAAGAATAGACCTTCCTGTTAGATGCTAAGGGAAGCGTGTCAAGTCATTTCTACACCACAGGTCAGTAAATATGTATTTTAATGCATCTATATTCGTTACATTTAAGAGTTGAAGATGTTATTAAATCGAGTGTCAACTAGTGAGTCACGTTATGCAATTTGAACAGTATTGTGTTCAAAACAGGACATATTTCTGAAAGCTAATTAAAGCTAACGCTAGCGGACCTTGTTAATGTGTTAGCTAGCTAAATTCACTTTCAATTGATTAAATTTTACCTATTTTGAAACGGTTCTCATCCAAAATATATTATTTTGGTCTCTTTGTTTGCGGTTATTGAAAAACCATAGAAATCATGTTAGAACATTCAGTGAATAAGTAATGGCTGCCTATTTGTTAAGCTTAGTTGTAAAACCAAGAAAATTTAAACTAACAATTTATTTAAATAAAATATAGAACCCAAAATTGTGCACTAATAAAATGAGATTGGGACTTTCTATGGAAAGTTCCAACTGTACTTTTCACATTTGTTTAGTTTTCGATGGAAAATAGTGGCGGTATACCACCAAAATACACTGAGTGGCTTCTATTTTCTAAGGCACCTAAATCAATTAAAGCAACTTGGATCTTCATCAAAAATACAAAACATGCAACACAAACTCAAAAATCAAGATGAAACCACATCATGCATGTATATAAGAAACATCCAGCTTCCTGCTTTTATTTATGTAGATCTAAAATAACAAAGTTGAAGTGGCTCTTCTGTCACAAGGAACTTTTTTTCTTTTCTTTTACAAGTGTGGTGACATGTCAGTGGCAAAATTAGAAGTTTCACAGCATGAAGCTGCAATGTCACTGATTACAAAATCCTTTTCTGTTCCCTTATTATGAATTTTGTAACTTGCAAGGGATATATTTAATCTAAAGCTTGAAGACTAAAACACCAGATTGTCCAAGGCTCCCTTATCATGAAAATAATATCACTCCAATGGGCTAACATTACCAACGTAACTGTCATAAAAGGTCAAATTACCTATAAAGACTATATGGATGGCAGTAAAGATGTTTATTTTTGCAGCAAAGTACGGTCACCCATAAAATGCCAGTTGGCAACATAAAATTAGACGTCTGTAAATATGTTCCCTCATTTAGTGAACCGTTTTAACATGTTCGCTACACCATTGTTGTCTGTCCAGTAGCTGTTGAATTGAGTGTTATTGTCAGTGCACAGCAGAACGGTGGCTCTTAATGAGTGTAATCAAAACGGTGGATGTCAAACAAAGGTTTCCAATTGGCAACATCTGGCTGTAACACTGAACAATGTCAATACTGCAGCCTGAAATGTCACCAAAATCACAACAGGAATTTTGTTGCAGATGTTTCTGTCTGCATAGTATATAAGAAAACACTTCCTCAGGTTATCTTATAGAAAGTATGAGAAATATAGGTAGTTGGATGAAACCAAAAATATCAATAATATTGATATGAAGTTGGAATCAGTATTGGATTGATACTAGCATAAGATTTCTTTTTCTTGAAATTTTATTTTATTTTTGTGTCCCAGTTTCTTAACTTAATTTGAGACAGTTGAAAAACAAAAACTTTATCGAAAAGCACACATTTCTTTGAAATTGTTATGTTTCCGTTAAGCAACTTCGTGTTCATAATTCCAATTTGCGCATTTATATGGTCAGTGGAAATGTAGATCATGACTTCGAAAGTTCAGCAACATGGAGACGATGGCATTGATCATTGCATGTCTCTTGACAAATGAGTAACTAACTGAGGAAATAAAACTTTAAGAATTCCCACCAGCGTTGAAACAAAACTAAACCAGCAATGACTGGAATTTCAAAGTGATTCAATCTGATAGGCATGTCCTACTTTTCACATTTGTTTACTTTTTGATGGAAAATGGTGGCAGTATACCACCAAAATACACTTTGTGACTTCAGTTTTCTAAAGGCACCTAAATCAATTAAAGCAACTTGGATAAACTAAAAAGTATTCAGGGAAGGTTTGTAAGTTCGCCCCCTCGATTTTTCACAAAGACTTGAGAAAGGCTTCTATCAGCCATTTCTCTTTGTCACAATGAATGAGGACACCATACCCTCAGCAGTGCTCAGATGAAGCCAGAGTAACTTTGTTGCCCGTGGTTCTGAGAAATCTTAGAAAGATCTTTGGCTTTTTTTTTTCTTTTTTATTGATTCATTTATTCTCAAGGCACTGTTTGTCTGGCTGTGGCACATTGATAGAGCGAACTGAGTGACTAATAGTCCAAAGAGCTCTCGGCTAGAGAAGGTGTCTGTAATGGCGCAGCTCATTTTGACTGATCCCTTCTGCCGTGAAATATGAGCGTCTTCCTGCTTACCAGCTGATGACAGTACATCTCCACCTTTAATGTCTGTATTACAAAAGCCAAGCATGCTGACGCTCCCCATGCCTCGTCTCTCTTAGCTTTTCAGTATTAGTCATGCACAGTTTGTGTTCTTTTGCTTTAGTGGCAACTTCTGATGTATGTGTGTGAAAATGACACAGAAAATGCTTTAGAAGAAAGAAAAATAATAAAAAAGGAGCAGTTTTAATGACAGCGAGAACGTTGAGGGGCTTAATCACCGAGGGCCGCGTTGGCTTTTGAGGCAGAGCGCCGTCTCATTAGGAGCCAACGCAGGGAGCACCATAGTTGTTAGTTACAGATGCACTTCTTGGGGTAAAGAAGATCCATGCTCTGGAGAACTCTTGTGAAATGTGAGCATATGTTCAACACCTTGATTGGTCTTTTTATCATGATGTTTATAACCTCTAACTGCCTCCAGGGTGGTGACAGGAAGCAGCTTAATCAGCGGGAATGGCGGCGCGACGTCCGGCAGGCTGTATGTCACAGCATTGATCAGGTGATTAAACAGTCAGCAGAGTGCGGTTTATCATGGTTATTCTGTTGGTAAATACGGGGGTTTCATTTATCCCACTTTTTTCTTCTTGGAAGAAGGTGGAGGATGAGTGAAGAACGATGAAGGAAGAGCGCTTCGTCTTCTGGCTGGTAGCTATCAGGTCGTGGGACGTTCATGTAACCATTTATCTGATCGCTCTGCTTCTCTGACTGTAATCAATCAAATTTTATTTGTATAGCACAATTCAGCAGAAAGGCCTTTCAAAGTGCTTTACATAATTAAAATAAAAGCAGCATGTGAGAAAGAGATTTAAAAAACATAATCAAAGTGTAAGCGGTGAGAAAGAGACATTTTGAAAAAGATTTAAAAAGATAAAAATATTAAAACCTGCACCCCTTTGAGGACTTCAGTTAAATGTCGTTTAACTGGGACTCTAACCCTCTGAAACTTTAGTCAAAAACACCATTTGACAAGGACTCCAACCTCTGGTTTTTAGTTGAAACGCCGTCAACTGGGACTCTAAACCCCATAGGACTTTAGTTAAACGTCTTTTAACTGGGATATTTCCCGGGGGGCTTTACATCATTAAAACGTAAACGGTGAGAAAGAGAAATAAAAAGAAATTAATAAAAAGATAAAAA